GGAAGGAAGGTGATATGGCTAACTTTGCGGTGGCTGTAGCCCACCCTGTAGCCTCCTTCCAGGACTGCTGTTGCTTGCCTTGAGTGCAACCCTGGCCGAGCGCCATTCTCCCCCTTCTCCCCACCTTGTGCTGGAAAGAACCCGGCACTGCCCCCTGCACTAGCCTGCAGCAGCAGCCCACCTGCAACTTGTAAACAGACTGGGGGGGCACACGCTCCCCATGCCTTCCCAGTGTGCATGCAGCGGCAGGTGCTGCCCCCAGCATCCCCTGGACAAGCCTCTCGTGACTCTGTCCTGTGCCCTGCCCCAGCCCCACTCCCTCCCTCGCTGCAGGGGCCTCAGTCTGCTGTGCTCCCCCCACCCCTCCATGCCCCTTCCTTTCCCCCAGAACAGACCTACCAGCTGGACAGTGCTCTCCACACTTCCACGCTGCATTCTTGGCTGCCTGCGTGCTGTGCTGCAGCTGTGCGCATGTACCCGGCATTTATCGGCAGCATTATTGGCTACGTCAGCCAAAACAAGGTGATTGCCAATTAACATCAATTTTCTTTTTATTGGTGCTGGCACGAGATGGGACTGATGTCCCTGGTACACCTCTAAAATGTGGTACTTATTCCCCTAGCATCACCCTCAATTGTGAACTCTGAGGCAGGAAGCCTTTTTTTCCTTCGTGTTGCTGCAGCTCTTGTTGGAAGTGAACCATGATTCTGAGCTGTGTCAGAAAACAGACCTTATGACAAGAGGCTGAGAGCCATGGGACTCTTCAGCCTGGAAAAGTGCAGGCTCAGGGGTGATCTGGTGGCAACCTATAAGTTTATCAGGGGTGCTCACCAGGATCTGGGGGAATGTCTGTTTACCAAGGGATGACCAGATCAAACGGTCACAAACTCTTCCGCGACCGATTCAGGCTGGACATAAGGAAGAACTTCTTCACTTTCCAAGCCCCCAAGGTTTCAAATAGACTGCTGCCGGAGGTGGTTCAAGCACTCACTTTGAATGCCTTCAAGACACATTTGGATGTTTATCTTGTTGGGATCCTATGATCCCTGCTGACTTCCTGCCCCTGGGGCAGGGGGTTGGACTCAGTGATCCTCCAGGGTCCCTTCTAGCCTGAATGTCTATAAAATCTATGAAATATTGGAGTACTGTATCCAATTCTGGGCTCCACAATTTAAAAAAGATGTGGAGAAGCTTGAGAGAGTTCAGAGAAGAGCCACGCGCATGATCAGAGGTCAGGAAAACAGACCTTATGATGAAAGGCTGAGAGCTACGGGACTCTTCAGCCTGGAAAACACAGCCTTTGGGGGACATGGTGGCTGCGTATAAGTACATAAGGGGTGTGCATCAGGATCTGGGGGAACATCCGTTCACCAGAGCGCCCCAAGGGATGACAAGGTCAAACTATCACAAACTCCTGCGAGACCGTTTCAGGCTGGACATAAGGAAGAACTTTACAGTGCGAGCCCCCAAGGCCTGGAACAGACTGCTGTCGGATGTGGTGCAAGCACCTCTGGATTCCTTTAAGAAATTGGACGTTTATCTTGCTGGTATCCTGTGACCCCAGCTGACTTCCTGCCCCTGGGGCAGGAGGCTGGACTGGATGATCTTCCAAGATCCCTTCCATCCCTAATGTCTATGAAATCTATGAATTATGAAATACTGCTCCTCTACTATAAATATTTGTGATGAACAGTGTCCCACAGAGACTAACCAAAATGCCACCCAGTTTGGAGAAACTAGAGAGAGGTTCAAAACTGTGTTCCCTGTTACAGAGGGGAGGACCTGGGAGTGCTTCATACTAATAAGGCATTTAGATGAGATGCGGTCTGGACAGTGACAACAGGAGAGCTGTAGCTTAAAAATGGGGGTACTGAGCAGGGGAGGTGGGCAGAAGGTTGCCCAGCGAAGAAGGGAAAAGATCTTGTGTGAATTGGTGGGTGAAGATGGAGGTGGAGGTGTGTACTTCTTTGCAGGCAGCTGCTGAATTTGCTGAATGAAGGGTGAGTGAGGGAGGGTGGATGGAGCCGTGAGCCTTCCCAGCAGGTCTCTGTCTCTTCCTTGATAACAGGCAGCTTCGATCCCAGACTATAGGGGCCCTAATGGAGTGTGGACGTTATTGCAGAAAGGCCAGAGCATCAGGTAAGCAGGTGACGTTACCAGGCT